AAAGTGTGTGAAACTTTACAAATTCCAAAACTTGAGGGCAAGTTTTGTAACTCTCCAAAACTTTTCATTTCATAACTTATGAATTAAAGGTTCATAAAAATGAAGACTCTTCATTTTATGTAACTTATGTGTTTTAAGTGTGTGTTTAAAAGAAGTGACCTTTTGATATCCATAACTCGAGGACAAATTATGGACTCCATTAAAACACATAAATGATCAAGAATTAATCCTAAACAATTCAGCAAATAATTCCTATCATCTTCTAAATTCATAAGAACATGAACATGATCATCAAAGTTTCAAGAATTATATGAACACATACAAAGCATGAAATTTTGATATAAGCTATTGTAAATGGATTAGAACTACCATTACACCAACTAAAACAAGTTTTAAAACACCAAAACAGTTTAGGGTAATGTTTCTAGTCCATTTCCAGCAGCAAAAGTCGAAAATCTGCATTCTGAGGCTCCTACTCGCCGAGTGCACGAACCTACTCGGCGAGTAGGATGAGTTTACACATGAACTCGGCGAGTCCCCCCATGGACTCGGCGAGTTCATCAGTCAGACAGCAAAAAATCGACCTTTTATCACTATTTTGCATCAAGTATCAAACAAACAAGCCTAGGCTCTGATACCACTGTTGGGTTTTGAGCATTCTAACACTTCCTAAGTGTACATGCAACCCTATTAAACCTTGGATCTATGTTTGTCTAAGATACATGCAAAATATTATTTTCCAAGGTTTATAACCTATCTAGCATGGCATGGGGTACTTTTAAACATAAAAGAACTAGATGAGTTACATACCTTTTGTTGATTGTTGATTCCTTGGAGTTTGAGAGCCAAGCACCAATAATGTGAATGCCTCAAATGGAAATCTCAAATCACCACAAACTTGGAAAATGTATGAGAGAGTATACTAACTCTTGATTTTGGCCACCACACTTACACACACACTAGTGTCTTTTTCATGCAATATAAGCTTGTTTATATAGTGTACATGGTTAGGGTGAAACCCTAATAACCCATGTCTTTTCCTCTTCCAAGGATCCATGGGTTAAAATCTCCATGGATCATCCATGGACTTCCATATAAGCTTAGCCCATTAACAAATGAGCATTAGCCCACACCATATAAATACAATAGCCCATGATTTAATTAGTCTTCCTTTTAATCACTAAATCAATTCATAATTAATTCAAGATTAAAACTAATTAAATAACATGACTTTATATTAATATATTATAACTTATAATATATTAATAAATCGTAAGTATACAATTCTCATAAAATTATCCATAAACAGTTTGGGTGAAGTGCAACCCAAATGGACCATGCCGGGTCGGGTCAAGTATATACCAAATAAGTTATGGACTTAGACACCTTATCCAACAATGCTATGATATTATATGGTAGTGGTAGGGGTGAAATAGTCCCCGTAGCCAGTTGAGATAAATCGGAGGGTAGGTCGGGCACCCCAGAATTGCCTGGCAGGATAGGTCGGGCACCCCAGAATTGCCTGGCAGGATAGGTCGGGCACCCCAAAATTGTCCGACGGTATGTTGCTATATGTTATGTGGTATGCTGGGGGAACTCACTAAGCTTTGTGCTTACGATTTTCAGTTTTTGTTTCAGGTCCTTCTTCTTTGAAGGGAAAGGAGCCGGCACGGTAGCAGCGCATCACACACATGATTTTCGCATATGAGATTCTTGGGATTTGTACTCTGACATTATTATGATATGGTTTTGAGACACTTGATCCATGGTTTTATGAAATAAATTACTTGATGATGTTTTTCCATAAATTATTTTATGAATCGTTATATTAAAAATGAAATTTTCGGTTCGTATTTTTGGGATGTTACACTTGGGCTTCATGGGAATATGGTTTAGACCCTATTGGATGTTGATAATATTGGTTATGTGATCCAAGCCCTTAGTTTGTGTTTTGGAGTCAAAGGGTAAATGGGAAAAGTGATGTTTCAAACTTCTTTCATGAATTAAGGATTTTAGTTCGGTATGTTTTAAGTCAAAATTAATTAGATAGAATTTTGGTGCTATTCAATACCTTTCCGTGCATAAAAAGAACACCGAAAACGAAGTTGAAACGAAGAAGTTATGGTTGTTTAAAGTTGAAGTGGAAATTGGTTTTTGTCCTACGCAGGGCGTAGGAAAGTTACACAGGGAATAGCTACTACGCAAGGCATAGGCAAGTTACACAGGGCGTAGCTTTCTAAGTGTGGATCACGTTTCTAATACGCTACACATGGCGTAACTTAGGTTACGCAGGGCTTAATCACGGCATATCAAAACCCTAATTCTTCGGTTTTGAGCCCTATTTAAGGGTTCTAACTTATAGGAAACCTCTCATGACCATCCTCCATCACCAAAGATCATTCCTTGAGAAACCCTAGCCTCCTCTCACCTTTTTTGAGCCTTGCCATCATTTATGAGCTTATTTCTCCATTAGAAGGTGGAATCTTGAAGAATAAGGTTGTGGAAAGCGTATAGAATAAGGGTTCAAGAATAGATCCAACAAGGTTACTTCATTCTTGGACCATTGTGACTAAAAAGCTTCAAACTTGCTCATTGGTTTCATAGATCTTGTTAATTGTCATATTTGTCACTTTTTGTTCCCTTGAGCTTGTGTTTTGGGAGTTGAGGCAACTCCAACACCTTTTGAGCTATATAGAACACTCGTGGGACTTATTGGACTTGGAAAGTTGTGCTTTGGTGCTTGTTCATTAAGCCATGCAAGTTGTTTATCATTTTTGGGTCATTTTAGTGCATTCAGTTTAGATCTTGAAAGTTTGTGACCTTGTTATGGATAAAGTTGGAAACTTTATCCATCTAAACATCATATTGATTCAGATATGAAGGTTGGAGACTTGGACTTAATGAATTAAGTTGAGAAAGATGCATTTTTTGGTCCCTTTGAGACTTAAAGGCTAGATCTTGGTTATTTGGACCATCCTAATGGATTAAGTTGGAAACTTTATCCATTATGGAGCTATTAGGAACCATATCTGAGCTTTGAGTGAAATGTCTTAATGTATTAAGTGCTTAAAATGAAGTTTGGCAAGGGACGCCGTATACGAGGCGTAATCTGGGCACGCCCAACGTAGCCTGATTCTTGCACATTTTCTGGATAGAACTCTCCGCCCTACGTAGAGTAAGACGTAAGTCGCACGTAAGTCAACGAAAGGTTGAGCATTGACTTTTTGACCGGTTTGACTTTTGGTCAATTGTGAGGGTTGAGGACCTAAAAGGGCAAAATAGTCTTTTGCCCAAATGAGGATTTATCTTGGTATTTGGACTTGCTAAGTTGGAGTATTTACCTTAATTGCTAATTAGGGTTTAGTTTTGGATATGTTTAGTGGGAGAGACTTTAGCACCGACAACTCATCTGTGAGATCTATTCTTTTACCGATCGAGGTGAGTCCTGTCACTATACTTGCATGTATGGTAATATGTGTGCATGCTGACCAATTGGGTCTTACTTGATATTTGTTGTTATGTGCTATCCGAAGTTGTTGATAACTCTCGGGTGTGCTGTTAGCCCACTAAGATTGTTGATAGTCTTCAGGGTTGCTGATAACCCACCGGGTGTACTGTTAGCCGATTGGGATTGTTGATAATCCCTAGGGTTGCTGATAACTCATAGTTGTTTATTTTATGTTGTGATGTATGTAGGGGTGTGCACCAAACCGCATAAACCGCACAAACCGCCCACACCGCACCAAACCGCACCGCATAATGCGGTTTTCGACGTTTGCGGTGCGGTTTGCGGTTTGTAATTTTTATAAACCGCAATATGCGGTGCGGTTTGTGGTTTACATTTACAAATTCGAGGTTCGCACCGCACCGCAATGTTTATATATATATATATATATATATATATATATATATATATATATATATATATATATATATATATATATATATATATATATATATATTAATTGCATTGAAACTCTGACAATCGAACCAAATTACGTATATATAGTTATATATTATCGATCCAAATTACATATATATTTCTAACTGCATTGTATAATTTGTTAAGGGTTGTAATATAGTTGATGACCTGTAGAACGATAACTAATTATGCAATGTAATCCAAACCATATGTGTACTCTAATATTCAACAACGACTATTAAATATTTAATATATATATATATATATATATATATATATATATATATATATATATATATATATATATATATATATATATATTCTATTTGTAATGGTATCAAACCGCACCTAAACCGCCCGCACGATATCAAACCGCACCGCACCGCACAACGCGGTTTACAACCTTCGCGGTGCGGTTTGCTGTTTCCAAATATTTCAAACCGCACATGCGGTGCGGTTTGCGATTTTGACTCTAAACCGCACCGCGCACACCCCTAGATGTATGTGATATTTCGGAGAACTCACTAAGCTTTGTGCTTACGGTTTATATTTAAAATGTTTCAGATACTTCTAGTTTAAAAAGGAATGGCCCGACATGACCGCACGACATCTCCTGGATATTTAGTCTGCAAGGAATGCTTACGAAAATAAATGGATATTCATCTGATATTTTGAGAATACTTTGACTCTAGTTGTCTTTTGGAACAATGAAAATAAATGGATATTCATCTTAAACCATATCATAAATGAAAATATTGCATTATCTGATTTTGGTGCAGATACATTCTCGTTTCTCAAAGCTGGGACTGTGCCCAACCTATGCGTGTTCATGGCCATAATAAGGTGTTTAATTAACCATTCTTATTTTAAAAAAAAAAAAAGCATATTGTAATCTTGAAATGAAATGTTTCTTTGGTTAAAATACTTCACGGGGCTATCTATCGACCATCGGGTTGGGTGTCTTATTGTCTTTCTTTCTAAACTATCTCTTTGACAAAAAGGCTCCTCTATATCTGCGTATTCTATAGTCTATACTTTCCATTTTTGTTGTTCAGTCCAGAATTTACCCTTCTTGAAAATGTCAACTCTCCCTCTTCTCTCTCCCGCCAAATTGGCTCCAACGTCTCACAAACCCAGAAATCCTTCTACCAAAAGAACGCAATTGATTAAAACCCTAAAAAACCCCACTTTCGAACCTCTAAAGGACCGACTAATCCGTTTATCCAATGTGGGGCAGATTCAAGAAGCAATTTCAGTCCTTGATGTTATGACCCAACAACACCAGCTCACCCCAGACCTCACTACCTTCTCCGTCCTCCTTAAATCGTGCATCCGAACCCGAAATTTTGAACTTGGCAAGCTTGTTCACTCGAAACTCAACCAATCTGGAATAAAACTGGACGCAATTGTATTGAACTCGCTCATAAGCTTGTATTCCAAATGCGGGGATTGGGTTACTGCTAAAACTATATTTGATTCCATGGGTGATGATCGATTGAGGGATTTGGTTTCTTGGAGTGCCATGATATCTTGTTTCGCGCATAATGGATTCGAATCACAAGCGTTGCTGACTTTTATTGAGATGCTAAGGCATGGGGAATCCCCAAATCAGTTTTGTTTGTCGGCCGCGATTCAAGCGTGTTGTAATGGAGAAAATGCTTGGATTGGAGAAGTGATTTTCGGGTTTGCGATTAAGACCGGATACTTTGAATCTCATGTTTGTGTTGGATGTGCTTTGCTTGATTTGTTTTCGAAGGGGTTTCATGACTTGGAGTCTGCAAAGAAAGTATTCGATAAAATGTCTGAGAGAAATTCGGTTACATGGACTTTACTGATCACTAGATATGCACAAATGGGACATCATGAAGATGCAATTCATTTGTTTTCAAGTATGCTATCATCTGGGTTTATGCCCGATCGGTTTACTTTAAGCAGTGTAGTGTCTGCCTGCGCTGAATTGGGATTCGTTTCCGTTGGTCAGCAATTGCATTCGTGGGTGATTAAGTCAGATTTGTGTTCAGATGTCTACACCGGGTGTAGTCTCGTGGACATGTATGCAAAGTGTGCAACCACTGAACCAATGAAGGATGCTACAAAAGTTTTCGAACGGATGCCTAATCATAACGTGATGTCATGGACCGCAATCATTACAGGATATGCACAAAGTGGAGGTCTCGACACAGCCGCCATTCAACTCTACAAAAATATGATCACACAAGGTCATGTCTTCCCAAACCATTTCACTTTCTCCAGCCTTCTAAAAGCAAGCGGAAACCTTTCGAATCTTGAAATCGGTAAACAAATTCATACCCACACAGTGAAATCTGGTCTTGCGTCTGTGAACTGTGTTGGGAATTCACTTATCACTATGTATGCTCGATCCGGTATCATGGAAGATGCCCAAAAGGCGTTTGAAGTTCTACTCGAGAAGAATTTAATCTCATACAACGCGATTGTAGACGGGTATGTTAAAAACACGGATTCTCACAAAGCTTTCAAGATGTTTAATCAATTTGAGGAGACAAAAGGTACAGAGGCGGTTGATTCTTTCACATTTGCCAGTCTACTAAGTGCAGCAGCCAGTCTCGGTGCTCTTGGAAAGGGCGAGGAGATGCACGCACGGTTAATAAAGTCGGGATTTGCTTCGAACCAAAGGGTATGTAACGCTTTGATCTCAATGTATTCAAGATGTGGGGACATTGAAGCAGCTTCACGGGTTTTTAGCAAAATGGAAGAACGGAATGTCATATCTTGGACTTCAATTATTACCGGTTTTGCAAAACACGGTTTTGCTACAAATGCCCTGGAGAAGTTTGATGAAATGGTTAACGCAGGCGTGAAGCCAAATGAAGTCACGTATGTTTCTGTTTTATCGGCTTGTAGTCATGTAGGAATGGTTGATGAGGGTCTAAAACACTTTGATTCCATGTACCATGAGCACAAGATTAACCCAAAGATGGAACATTACGCGTGTGTGGTTGACTTATTGGGAAGATCCGGTTTTCTTGTAAAAGCTCTCGACTTTATCAAGTCAATGCCTTTCAAGGCTGATGCTCTTGTATGGCGAACATTACTTGCAGCCTGTCAAGTCCATGGTGATGCAAAACTTGGAAAATTAGCTACAAAAATGATTACAGAACAGGATCCGGATGACCCATCTGCTTATATCTTGTTGTCTAACTTATATGCTTCAAAGGGTGAATGGGATTCGGTCGTTAAAATCCGTAAAACCATGAAAGAAAGGAACTTGATGAAGGAAGCAGGCTGCAGCTGGATAGAAGCTGAGAATCAATCGCATAAATTTTTTGTAGGGGACACGTGTCATCCTCGTGCCCATGAGATATACAAAGAGTTGGATGAATTGGTGATGGAGATAAAGAAACTGGGGTATGTTCCGGATACGGGTTTTGTTCTTCATGAACTGGACGAGAAAGAAAAAGAAGGATATTTGGTTCAGCATAGTGAGAAGATTGCTGTGGCGTTTGGATTGATAAGTAGTATGTCAAAAACGAAACCGATAAGGGTGTTGAAGAATTTGAGGGTATGTGGAGATTGTCACACTGCAATGAAGTATATATCGGTGGCAAGGGGAAGAGAAATTGTGGTTAGGGACTCCAATAGATTTCATCATTTTAAGAATGGGTCATGTTCTTGCAACGACTATTGGTGATTACGAAATAGAAAAAGTAAATTGAGAGCATGGCGGAGTTTTTGTTGTATGTACATTCTAATTTCTAAGTTCTAACAACTTGATATGAAGGGGTGAACTTTATATGGGGGTTGTTTGTGTTTGTTTATCATTATTTGATTGTTGTAGTTAAATTAAATCATCTTTTTAGTGCAAGGTTATTAAGATCGGAATCTTACCTAACCTCGTTTCACATTTTGCAAGATCGTGTTGTAAGGTCGAATCAGGACCGAAAAAACCTACCAAAATGAACTAGTTCTAAATTTGTTTGCTAGGTCACAGTTTAGTCTCTAAGTCGGGTTATTCATGTGTGGAGTCCTTAAATGTCAAATTCGTTGCATGTTTGGTCCTTGTTATACCTAATAAGACTATATTGACCTTATTTATTTATTTTTTAATTTATTTATTGTATATTTCTTATTTATTTATTGTTTATTATTTATTTATCAAATAGATAAAATGTACAACCCCTTAAAAGCTATATTACAACCACCAAACCTTATAGGTACGGCATGTGGAAGATATGGTGGATAACCTATTGACTCATGTTCAAATCCTAATACTACTCAGCTTTAGTGGTCATGAAGGTTCGCCTACAATGACTCCAGGGCATGAAGCAAAGCCTCATGTTTGCTGACCCGAAAACCCTCGTTAAGGAAATTCCCTTTCCAAAAAAACAACCACCAAACCTTATACATTTGTTAGATCATAGCATCAGTGAGAGGTTGAGACCATTTCCTCCTTTCCCATCCTCTCCTTCCTTTTTCTGTCGCCGACAACCCACACCACCACTTCACCTTCCGGATGTGCAACCTTCTACGCCACCACTTCGCGTCCAGATCTACAATCCTCTTGTTAGAAAAAGTGCATTGACAAAGGAGATGGTGGTGGTTTTTCGAAGGTGGTGACCGAGAAGAAAGAAAACGAGAGTTGACTTGGATTTGGCGGCCGGAGCATTGCTGCAATCGTTTTTTTTTTTTTGTGTGTGTGTGGGGGGGGGGAGTGCATGTCGGAGAAGAAAAAGAAGATGGCGGTGGTTTTTCGAAGGTGAAATAGCCACGAAGTGGGTGAGGGTCAAGGGTGAAGGTGAGGGGAATGGGGCGTCTGTTCATCTCCACTGTCGGCGGCTCTATTGATGTCTCTGGCTTTAATTTCTGGTTAAATGGATTGAGTTTTTTTTTTGGATTGATTCTTTTTTATTTGAATTTGTGGTTCTGATTTATTGTTTGGATTTTTGGTTCGAATATTCATCGGTTTAATGGGTCATTTTTTTTCCGGTAGTACAGGTGGTGGTGATTTAGTCTGGTGTACACCACACTCCAACATATGCGGGATTATGGTGGCTTATAAGCTAGCAGTGACGAGATTGTAATTGAGGGAAGGAGGCAGGAATTATGTGGGCTGCAATTGTGTGAGTTCCTTGTGTTGGGTGGGATGACTAATGACGATACAGGGTACCAGTGATTGGATGGGATGACTGAGGACGATGCGGGTTACCGATGATGCAGGTGGCGGGGATGTTTATAGTGGCTGAGAGAATTACTCTTAACGTTGCTTAGGCTTTAGGGAAATTGATTTTTTTAATTTATTAATATATAAATCATAAATTTATTTATAAAGGGAATTAATAAGGATACAATAGTTTTTTAAGTTAAAACATAGATTAAGCGTGCAATAAAAACATATAATAAGAACAAAACATGCAACAAATTTGACATTTAAGGACTCATTGCATAAAAAACTTAGCTTAAGGACTAAACGCTTAAGTAGCACAATGCCACAAGAACCACACGTGTAATTTACTGTAACTTTAATTTGTTTTAATCTTAATAATTTATATGTATAAAAGTAAAATGGACCTACAACAACCTACTCTCACCCAATGTTTTACTGTTATTAATTTTATATGTATAAAATTAAAATGAACCTACCACAACCACTCCCAATCAAAATATTTTTAAAGAATGTTTTTTAATTATGGAACAACAAATAACCTATATATTTTTCAAGATTCAACTAGGCTGTGTTTGGCGCGCCACAGCTAGTTGATAAGGTCGCTTATTTTTTAAGCTTTTTATGTTGTCGTGTTTGGTAAGCCAAAAAGTAGCTTTTAAGCTAGTTTATAAGCTAGCTTTTTGAAAAGCTACTTAGAGTAGCTTTTTATGAGCTTTTTTAAAATTTTCCAAATACACCCCTTAATTAATTATAGAAACACATACTCCTACATGTCCTTTTATGTAATTTTATATATTTCAGCTAGCTTTTCAGCTAGTTTTACCAAACGTTATTTTTTATCAGCTAACTTTTCACCTATCAGCTAGCTTTTTATTTAACAGCTAGCTTTTCAGCTAGTACGCCAAACATAGCCTTAAATCGTTTCTTAACGTTGAATTCTATAAAAAAAAACATTTGATTATTTGTTAAGCTAAATCGATTTTTAATCTTTATTTCCCAAAAATTAAGTTGGTTTAAGATAAAACCTCAAAGGTTGAACCTAGAGAGATGACTATAAGTTTCTTCATATTGTAGATATCATGTTTTCAATCGATTAAAAAATTAACCCAAGCAGAACAAAGGCACCAATGTGTATCCATATTCGTATTTTTTTATTTCTCTTGTTTCATATGTGAAAATGATGTTGCACATCAAAAAGACATCAATAGTTTTCGAGTTGCATCCCTTATGATTAATTATAATTTAGTTGAAACTTTGATACGTTTTATTGGGAAATAGATGGAATATTTATGGTGTTAGTCAAAAGTGATCAAAACTAACCAAAATATTTTTTGCTAGCGGTAGGGAGTGATCATCTCAATTGAAAGGTCATGAGTTCAAGTCTCACTTAAGATATATAGACTGTAATTAGCAGTGTTGTAGAAATCGGCCTTGACGGCCGATTAATCGGAGATTAATCATTTGGCGGTCTACAACCAATTATGATTAAGGGTGCTTAACAGAAATTGGTCAATATCGGTCAATCTCGCTTGGTGGTCCGTGGAGTTACTTGGCACTCCTAGGTGGGAAAAATTAAAAAAAATTCAAATATGTAAATTTTTAAATATTACATCAAAATTTCAAAATTTTAATTTTTCAAGTATTTAATTTTTTCAATATTATACAAAATATTTCATATTTTCAAAATTTGAAATGTTCAAATACTATTTTCTTAGGATATATTATGTTGTTAAAGAGTTTTATTAATAATTTGAGGTTTTCGATTAATCTCCAATTAATCCCCACGTATACCGATTAATCTCTTAATCACAGAGGTTCTACTAAACGTTTTTTTACAACGTTGGTAATTAATAACTAGATTAGTTTAACGTTTAAAAAAAATCAAAATTCAAATTTGCAAAAAAAAAAAAAAAAAAAAAAAACGAACTAATAATAAAAAGAGATAATGACTTAAAAGGGTAATATATTTTTTGATTTGTACACATTTAGTCACTGATTATTTTTTTCGTCCACATTTACCCCTTCAACTTGTTAAACTGTACACATTTAGTCTTTATGACCGGCTACTCCAGGTTAGCCGGTAAAAATGACTTAATAGGGTAATATATTTCTCACTTTGTGTAGATTTAGTCCTTAATATTTTTGTACATATTTAGTCCTTAATATTTTTTTTTTTGCAAAATAAGTCATTTTTGTTTTTGTACACATTCAGTACTTATGAGTGATTTCTTTAGGTTTTTCTCACGACATCTTACGTGAGATAGTCATATGGTGGTGGGATAGGTTGAGGTGATCCTGCTATATGTTGTAGGCCAAGATACCTGGTGCGGGCCGACTGTAAGCCGTAGGCATGGAGGCTCGAGAAGAGCGGTTAGGTTAAGGCGACATGCCGACAAACCCTGGGTATTCCAGTCTGATGAGTGACTGGACCTGTTGCATGTTGGTATTCCAGTCCGATGACTGATTAAGCCAAGGTATTCCAATCTGATGAGTGTGGGCCCATTATGCATGATAATGTGTTTGTTGTATTAGATATTTTGGGGGAAACTCACTAAACTTTGTGCTTACCCAGTTGTTTATGTTTTTAGGTTCTATCGTTGATCGTGGGAAAGCGAATGCATGACTGTACACACTCATCAACAGTATTGAGGATTCTACGTTTCTTATATTACTCTGATTTTCGATAAATATATTTTGGAATAAACGTTTGTTTCTTAATAATGGATTTATAGTTAGGGACTTTTGCCTTATTTAAAAATGAAAATTTTTTGTTGTGAAATAAGACGTTACACATAAATATCAACAACCCCACACACTTTATCAATTATTGTCTCATGTAAGATGTCGTAAGAAAAACCTAAAAAAATCATTCATATGTACTGAATGAGTACAAAAACAAAAATGACTTATTTTGAAACAAAAAAATATTACGCACTAAATGTGTACAAAAATATTAAGGACTAAATATGTATAAAATGAGAAATATATTACCCTACTAAGGCCCCGTTTGATACGCGTCTGATCGAGTCAAGTCAGACGTTTTTGGCTAACTCGGTCAGCAAAATCTGTTTGATAATCCAACTTTGGTCATCTGACTCGGTAAGAAATGTCTGACCGAGAAAAGAGTTGGGAGGAGACTGACCGAGAAAGAAAGCAAGACTTTCCAATAATACCATTGCCCTTGGATAAAAATTCGAATCTCAACAAGTGAAATGGGAGGTTACAGTATTTGAACTCGAGTCTCCCCTATACAAACAATAGCGTTTACCACCAAGCTAGAGGGTTTTTTGTGTTTTAACCTTTAAAATAGTATATTTAATATCTATTATGCTGGAAGTTTTTGTATACATTATTATTAATATTATTTATATTATTATTATTATTATTATTATTATTATTATTATTATAAAGAGCACGAGGATAAAATGGTCATTTTGCATCAATCAGCACATTCAGTCAGATGTACAATCAAACAGCATGGTTTCTTACTCAGTCAGAATTTATTACTCAGACAGATCTTTCCCAATCAGCACTTTCTCAGTCAGCAACTATTAAACGGCCCCTAAGTCAATTTTCCCGGCTAACCTGAAGTAACCGGTCATAAGGACTGATGTGTATAGTTTAACAAGTTGAAGGAGTAAATGTAAATGGAAAAAAAAAACTCAGTGATCAAATGTGTACAAATCGAAAAATATATTACCCTTCTAAGTCATCCCGTGTAAAAATTAGTGGAAAGCTTATGGGATTTTTGCCAACAATATTCTGTTTTGGCAAGGGCTGAAACCTTTCCCAATTCGTCATTTAGCATTAATGTATCTGTGCACCCACCTCACGCCATTTCATCGACTCAAAGCACAATCCCCAAAAGCTGCGACCACATCGAGGGAGAGATTACCACTGTATCTCTGTGTGTGTATGTTTTTTAATCTCTTTTGTGAGAGTACGTTTCGGTTGACCACATTTACACAATCAACAAACTACTGACGTTATGCTTCAATTTCCCTGACTTGGACCTTTCATCTCTCAGATATAATCGATTATTTTGCCTATATTCATGTTTATATATTTCGGTAGATGAGAAAGTTTCTGGGTTTAAACTTTTTGTGGCTATAATTAGAATTTCTGTAAATCCCCTCGTGGTGCCGCCCAAAAGTTTTCAATCCCTAGCTTATATATTGTTCCATTCACGTTCTCCAGGCCCTTGTAAGCTTGTTAAGAAATTAGTTTTTGAACTTTTTTTTTTTTTTTATCGAAGTTCGTAAATTAGTTGTACTTTGGCAGTTCCAATCAAAAGTTAGTATTTTCACATGTACCTTTTCCTTTTTTTTTTATTAATTCTTTTATGTTATCTGGATTGCTATTATATTTTTCTTCCTGCTGCCAAGAATCTTGATCTTTAGCTTATATGTTACGCTGTTTTAGGTAAATGTACACGTTTTCGACTTATAGATTGATTTAATCACATTATGTTGTTTGATCTGTTTACAGGTCTAATTAGAATCCACTTTGTGAAATGTTCTTGGTAAAGTAGATGATTGCTTTTACTTTAGGATGTCACAAAAGGAGGGAAAGGGGAATAGAATTGATGGTTTCTATACTAAAAAAATTTCAAAACAGAATATTGTGATTGCTGAATTTGATGTCCATGTGTCTTTGCAAGATTTCCCCCCTTTAGTCTAACCTTTTAAGCCTTTCTTGTATTCTATATCTATCCTATTATAAAAGCTGTTGATTTGTATTGTTTCATGTTCATGTTATCGTAGCAGTAGCAACTTAAAGTGTAAGGTCCATATTTTGGTGTTAGAGGCTGAAACTGGAGAAGGAAAAGAGAATCTATGGAGGGAGACGCAGGGAGAGACTTGGAAGTCCAGAGAAGTTTGGATGGGAGGGCGAATGAACCATCTTGTTGCCTGAAAGCAAGAGCTTCCTGTGTTGATTCAGAGCTTGAAGCCAATTGTCATGCAACAGTTGTTTCTGGATGGTTCTCTGGTAATCATTTGAATAATCAGAATCATGAATCATGTGGTTACTGTTTGAGATGATCATCATTATGTTGTTAATTGCTGCAGATATAGGTGGCAAAAGCATGTACTTTAACAACCCCATGTGGCCAGGTAATTTAAGCTAGGGTTCATATATGTTGAATATGCAACTTGAGTTTCCTTTTGTGTATAATAAATATCAGGAGAAGCGCATTCCTTGGAAGTAGAAAAGATTCTGTTCAAGGAAAAATCAGAGTACCAGGAGGTTGTAGTTTTTGAGGTATCACATGTCAACATGGATCAGCCCTAGCCCCTAGACTCTAGTACTAAAACTAGAGAATCACATCACATGTTAATATTATATATCATATATGCTAAAATTGTTAAATTATTGATGTGTACAGTCTGCAACATATGGGAAAGTTCTTGTTCTTGATGGCATTCTTCAGCTGAGTGAGAAAGATGAATGTGCATATCAGGAAATGATTACCCATCTTCCCCTTTGTTCCATTGAATCGCCAAAAAAGGTAACTTTAGCATCAAGATGAAGTTTGATCTCTCTTTATTTCCATGCTTATTAATATTGGATGGTGTGTGTATATGCAGGTTCTGGTTGTGGGTGGCGGGGATGGTGGAGTGCTAAGGGAAATTGCTCGCCACAGCTCTGTGGATTTAATTGATATATGTGAAATAGATAAGATGGTTATAGATGTACGTATGTATGTGGTGAAACTAAATAGATAAAATTTATTAACTGTAACTGTAAGTAATCAATGTTTTGTTACATGCTCATCATATATATGTAACTCCTTGTTTGTAATTGTAATTGTAATTGTAGGTAAGTAAGAAGTATTTTCCCGAGTTAGCTGTTGGTTTTGAAGATCCTCGTGTTCATCTCCATGTCGCTGATGGTAATGTTTTTATTATTTATTATTTATCTTTAAGTTTGAGATTTGATATTGTGGAATTTGGACAGCTGTTGAGTTTATCCGGAACACTCCTGAAGGAAAGTATGATGCCATTATTGTTGATTCATCTGATCCTGTGGGTATGTATGGTTTTTTTTGTTTCGCTTATGATCATGAATATTCATACATGTATGTTGTGGAAAGTATGATGATGTAACGTAACATAACATAACTGTGTGTAGGTCCTGCTCAAGAACTAGTGGAAAGGCCTTTCTTTGAGTCGATAGCAAGAGCATTAAGACCTGGAGGGGTGCTTTGTAACATGGCAGAGAGTATGTGGCTCCACACTCATCTTATCCAGGATATGGTCACCGCATGTCGCGATATATTCAAGGGTTCTGTTCATTATGCATGGGCAACTGTACCTACATATCCCAGGTGTCTCATTGATTAAACCCTACTGCTACATTGCTGCTGTTGTTAACAATAATTCTTGAAAAAAACTGATTGATTGTTAATATTTCAGTGGTGTTATTGGATTCATATTGTGCTCAACTGATGGACCGCCTGTAGATTTTAAGATTCCTGTAAACCCCATTGAGAAGGTAGAGGGAGCACTGGAGCACTGGAGAGAACTAAGATTCTACAACTCTCAGGTTCGTAATTAACCTGCTATTTGCATGCTATACAGAGTCTAGTGAGTGTATGATAATTCATTTTATTTTTAATATTAAACAGATGCATCAAGCTGCCTTTGCCTTGCCTTCATTTGTGAAGAGGGAAGTTAGCTGTCTTTGAGGGTTGTTAGTCTCGTGTGGGGCTTGATATTGTGGTGTGGGTGCAAACCAAATTATGAGTAAGGTGTAGGTACCGTATGTTAGTGGATATGCATGGTGAAAATAATGGTATTCATGGGAGGGTTTGTCATTTGTCCTCTGTACATGGTCATCAATCTTTGTTTTGTGCTTCCAGAAATATATCCATAAATTGTTTGTGTGTGTTTATCTGTCATAAAAGTGAACTTGGATGTTATGTTTCCAAGAAAGTGGATTTAGATGTGGGCGTTTTTTAAAAACAATTTTGATCAGCATTTATCAAATGTTGGAACAGAAATATATTATAATTTAGTACATAAATTAACTACATACCATCAACTGCATTAACCACAGACATTGGGTGCCACCATCTATGCATTAAGAATTCCGGTTAACACACTTGATGCTTTGGGGTTAAATGGTGCAAGGAGAACTTGTTACTAGTTATTTGAATTTCTGTAAAAGATCAAAATCCAGTCAAATGATTCTTTAACATTTGTGCAACTCCAACTTTAAACCATTAAACATATATACTTTCAACATCAAGTGCATCAATGGAGTGAATCCAACATAAGCTAAGTTACAACTTTTTTGGCTATCAAAATCAAGCAAGCATGCAGATGACATGACATTTGTCTCGAAAGATACATTTACAATACAAGTAAAGAAGATGAAGATTTAAGAGATGAGGTTGGGTAATACGAGAGGTCTGACATCTGGCTTTACCTTGGCACAACTGCCTTTTAAAATGGTATCTAAAGTCGCAATAGCTTCCAGAATATGCTTCCCTTTGTTCAACATTATACAACTAGCCCTGTATGATAAATCACAACACAACATGGCTCAAATCAATACATCAGAAGAAAGAAATATTTGGCCTTGAATAAAAATAAAATACACAAACCTAACCTTGCTCCACATGCCACGTCAGTTATTTCGGGTCTAGTAGGCAGACCGGTCTTTACGAGGGACTCAAGTACCTGTGTCGCCCAAATAACAGGAACATGTGCTGCGCTGCATATCGATAGGATTTCCTCCTGAATATCCCCCATCATCTCCCACCCACACTCAACTGCAAGATCTCCTCTGGCAATCATAACCCCCAAAGGATTTGATAACTTCATTGCCTCTAAAAGCAAGAGAGGCAAGTTCTTAAGCCCATCTTTCGTTTCAATCTTTAAAACAATTCCCAATCCATCAAGTTTCCTTTTTTTAACTTCTTGCCCAACCAGAATAATATCATCAACATCCCGAACAAATGAAATCCCAACAATGTCAGCATGGGCGCCAACAAAGTCAAGATCAATAATATCTTTGGAAGTCAAACCTTCATACTGAATTTTGCTCTCGGGGATGTTGATGGATTTCTGTGGGCCAAGTTTGGTGCCTCGTGGACCGGCACGGGTGATGGAAACAACTATTTCTGAAATACTCGTCCCTTTGATCACTCCCCATATTTTACCATCATCAAAAGCAATGGGCTCTCCAGGTTTGACCGAGTCAAACAGATACCCAGAGGAACAAGTCACTCTAGGACTCCCATTACCAACCATGGAAGAAGTCAACTGTGGTTGTTCAAAATCATCTCGTGTTATGACCAGCAGGTCTCCAACTCTCAATCTAACAAACGTCTCAGTAGGAGGGACATCCACCACAGATCCAAACAACGCCCTTTTCTTGTTCCCTTTTAATTTTGTTCCATTCTCAACATAAGCGGTGTTTGTACAATCAGCCATGAATCCAACACCACTAAAAACAGGGAATTTCTTTGAAATCTTGAGTGACCTTTGTTTGCCTCGAGCATCACGGAATCTAAGAGTATCGCCAACTTGTAGCTTTTCAAGAAACTGTTGTCCGTCCACATACATGACCACATCTGGAGACACATGAGCAGGTGGCGAGCCAGCGCCTTTTTGTGCCACCCAAACCTGAGCAGCATTGATCACATTTCCAGATGCGTTCTTCTTTGGAGATATTTTCATGACACATGGACCGGATTTCATTCTACCTGTTCGCAGCTTTGGTCCAGCCAGATCCATGAGAATCCTACACGGTTTCTCAAGCATCTGAGAGTTTATTTTCACTCTTCTGATTGTCTCACTCCAGACACTTGGATCACCATGGGCACAGTTGATACGCACGACTGTGGTCCCTGCCTTAAGAATATCATTGATGAACGTTTCATTGGTTATGGCTTCTTCACCAACTGTCACCATGATATGACTTCTTTTGTCTTCAACTGGACCCATAAGAAAATCCCGGTTAGAATTTACCCTTTTTCTCATCATACTTGCTGTCAACTGGTTGTTGAAATTTTCTGAAGATTTGGATTTTAGATTTTCCAACAGCTGGATTCCTGCAATCACATACGGATTGATTGTTTCCAAGTTCAGGAGGCCTACAGAAGAGACCTCATCTTTTAATTGGTCAACATCAAGGCTTTTAAGAGCCAAATAATGTATCAGGTTTGCAGCACTAACAGCATGTCGTCTGCAAGGAAAGTGATGTTACTGTTGGTGTTAGTGTTAGGTGCAGATTATATTTTCCAATTCCTGATTTCATGTACCCAAAAACATGGACTTTACTAGATAATCAACAAGAATCCCCAAAGCACTGATGTTATTGCATCATAAACTTCTAGAAAAACTAATGGCCTATAAATCACAAAATAAATAAAGATACCTATGACATAGTTTTAGTCGGGAAGCATTCCACTGTTCCATTGCTAAAGCATGCATGTGAACAGCCTTTAATTTATCCAGAAGATTTCCCTGATTTCCTAAGATTTGAGCATGCTGCAAGTGATTGTCATCCAAGTATACTGAAGAAGCAATAATTACCTTCTCTGAATCATTTTCAGTAGAGTTCCTACTACTCTCTGAAATGATGTGTGATTGATCATCAGCAGCATAAGCACCCACACTGCTTTCAGGTTCATCATTTCCATTTCTAGTAGCAGAGACGATATAGCTCAAAGGAAGTGCCCGTTTACGTCTCCTTAGAGGCTGAATAAATTTATCCTTAGAAACTAATAGCCCACATGACAAGTGCAGAGGTTTTTCATGTAAGTTTGAGGATGCCAACACCAATGCTTCAGCTGTGTAAGGGCCCTGAAAAAATTGGCCCAATAAAGAAGGTGTGTTGATTGGGGAATTCAAAGATAAAGTTTGAATTAATCATTAAGCTTGAGTTGCTACTTACATAATTTGAGGCATGGTTGGTGACCGAGCTAAGTGAAGCCACACCAAACATCATCTATAAGATAATTTTTCAGCAAAAAGATGAGTATCCAAACACTTTTAAAAAACAACTTACTGACTTTTTCCACCACAAATTTCTAAAAACTCCTTTCCTCACCACCATGAGTCAATAAAGTCGTTCTGCCTAAAAGTCCTTTTGAAGTTCAAAATAAATCCCAAACACCCTCTGATAACATCACAATGACAGTAAATGAGGCTATCATTTCAAATTAAAAATGTTGCACACCTCATTCTAAGAAGGTCCTCGTATCATTTATCACTATGCTTATGTTCTCTATTTCAGTCTACATGTAAAACCAATGCAAACTAACATAGATTATCTCTACACAGAGACGGGTATTGATTTAACAGCTAAAAGTTGTTTTTTTTTTTTTTTTTTTTCTCATGATAGTTGAAGTTTTAAGTAAGAAAGGCCGACTTCTCTGGATCTTTGCATATTTAAAATAACCTATAATCGTCAAAAGGATAGCTTCATACAAGCAGGTTACATAATATAAATTTAATCTGTGAAGTTGGGGGGAAAAGATCAACTATAAATGAACACAATCACAAACTAAAAACAAAAGCCAAACTAAAACCAACCCCCGATATCCACAGATGAGAAATCAAACGACCGATTTGGCCAAACTAAATTAACCCCATGGTGTCATGAATGCTAACCAACAAACAAGTGCTCATTTTCAAATCAATACATGCCGTGTAACAGGATGATCAAGGCGATAAACATGACGTAGGAAAGAATCGAACAATATAAATATATATATTATTTAAAAGTTTTTATTTTTTTACCTTTTTGAATCTTGGTGACGGGCTGACGGCAAGGAATATTGGTGGTTATAGATGGAGAATCTGTGGGAGAGAGGAAGCGAGAAGAAAGAAGAGTGTGGCCAACACGAGCTAGATTCAAACAGCTGGACCCTTTATTATTGCCAATCTTTTCACAGTATCGACTATCGACCCTAATTTTCTTTTCCTTTTCGTCGGATTATAATTTATTTTTGGGAAAATTATTGTGTAGAACTTAGGTTATCGGTTCAATTTGATCATTTATGTTGTTTTTATTGGTTCAATTTGATCATTTATCTTGTTTTTATGACGTAGGTCTTCTAAGTTTTACCGTATACATAAATTAAGTAATTATCATTAGTTTTTAATTATTTCTTCGTTAAACCAGTTATTCTAAATTACATAAATGGTCCCTATGGTTTAAATTCTTTCGTAATTGGTCCTTACTAGCACGGTGATTGTTCTTCACCGACACCACCCCGTTCACTTTCGGCAACCACCCCATGCACCTCCGGTAGCCTCCACCGTGCCAACCAAATGTGCAGCATATCACAATTCCTTAAAATTTCGATTCATTTGACAAATTTAATTGATTTCAGTAATATTCTTCGAACAAACCACTCAATGACAACGAATCGACTTTTGTTTAAAAAGATAGCGACAGATTCGTCCATAATTGTACCCGATTTTATAATAATGAGATGCCTTACTGAAAACATAAAAGTGTTGTATACCTCTTCGGGCGAGTGTACATGAGATACATGCATGTCATTTAGAAGCTTCACATGTTTATCAAATGAATTGGCAAGGATAGAAACCAATCTATGTAGCATATTTCTTCTTTGGAAGAAAATGACCGAAATGCCCCTTTTAGCAAAGTAACGGAGAATCTCTTTACGGTGTTCCATCAAACCCTGCATCGATCATCAAGATTGTTTTCAAATAACATCAACAGGTAATGATAAATACGAACCTCAAATATTACCTGATGAAGCATCCATTTGAAATTGATCGCAGTAGAACAACTGTTCTGAGATGAATGAGTAATCAAGTCCATACTGTAAACCCTATCGCGGGTATTAAAACTTGATGAAAGATTTTGTCTCCTATTTTTCGGATCAAATATCTCGTCATTCGAGCTTATATTCATATGATTGTTCAATAGGGATTCAAACCAACCGCTTCTTGATCTTTGCATCGACATAATGACAAACAAATGCATATGGTTTCTAGTAAACCGACAAAATAGGTATTTATATATTTATATACACACCAAATTTTTTAGAAAAGAAGTATATATAAAGATTATACCTGTTGTTGAAAGGTTTGGGTTTTGGGTAATGCAAGTAAGTGATTGGAGGGTGATCAACGATATTATTATGATGGGATGTCTTGATTACTTGAAACTCTACATTTTCCCTTATTTTTTCACTGTGTATATGATCTGAATACGTAGAATATGCATAAACATAGAATACTGTTGCACATATTAACATCAACAACTTCAATCCCCACAAAGACTTTTTTGGACGTTTGAGGATAATGGTATCCTGTTTATTCATGAAAAATGATCAGTTGTCTTGATTGTCAAGTGTTAAAATAGTAAATAAACCTTCTATGATCAATAGTTAGGAGACGAAATAACCAAACTTACTAATCGGAACAATAAAGAAAGCATTAATCGAAATACCATTGTAATGAGAGGCAGGTAGTAACGTGTATATAAATTTTTACATTATCGACTTCTTAAACATCTTCAATTGGTTTCCCACCTAAAATTAGGATTGTACTTGATAAGTTTGTTAAATTCATTGTTTGAGTTTTCTAGGTTGCTGAAAGATTAGATGATACCAATACTCATTCCAAGATAATAAATGAATGCATTGATTTGACTTTTTAACGGAGGTTTTAGTGGAAATTTGGTCTTCTAGTTACAAATCATTAGTAGCGTTCATGATATTGATTTTGATTTGTTAAAAGTTATTTTAGATATGACGTGTTTTATGTTCATATGACTTGATCATGAGGCTTTTGGAAATATGACATTGAGCACAGAAAATAGACAAGGGGAACGATGGATGGTTTTACACTTGGATATATGCATATGGAAAAAGTAAATTATCAATCACATAAAAGTTTCACAACAGAACCTGAGACATAAAATAGTCATCCTCGCCATCTTCGGGCCTATCGTTCTCCTCATCATTACCATCGATATGTTCATCTTGTTTTAAACCATAGAGACCATTTGTGTAATTTAGAATAACTGGTTAACGGTGGATGGTTAAAAACTAACGATAATAGATTAATTGACATTTAAAGTGAAAGTTAAATGGCCTACTGCGCAAAAAATATATAAATGGTCAAATCATAACGAACACCTAAGTTCATTGTGCTACACTGAAAATTCCCCTTTATTTTTCTTACATCAACATTTGCTTATACATATACACCATGTTGGGTGACAACAAAACAAGTTAGGCACTTCAGAAAAATATCAAAAAAAAACTTCAGTGAACTCACAAAACATCTAAAAAACGTAAATCAAAAGAACACAATATTTAACGTGGTTCAGTCAAGGTGACCTACGTCCACAGGCGAACAGAGAGAGAGAGAGAGAGAGAGAGAGAGAGAGAGAGAGAGAGGATTTATTAACTTTTTGGAACTATTACAAGCACTCAAAATTGTATCTCACTTTGAGCTCTCACAGAAATCTAATAATTTACAACGATGGGGATATGATGTAACATTTTGATTTCAAGGTATTTCATTTTTGTGTAACATCCCAAAGATTCAGATAAAATTTTCATTTTTAAATTCATTTCAAGCATATGATAATCAGATCAAAACAGTCGAGAGTATATCATAGTAATATATTATCAGAGTACAAAATCCCAAAATCACGTGATGTGAAAAATCAGAGGTAGATGCAGTGTGATCAGGTCGGGCCCTTCCCTTTCGAGCTGGAAGTACGTGAAACATAAACTGAAAATCTTAAGCACAAAGCTTAGTGTGTCACACCCCCAAACCAGGATGGCAGAAACGTCCGAGGGCGGATGACTTTCATGTATTGTATCATAACAATTGGATAATAGTAAAGAAAACAAACATAACCATCATATATATAATTGAAAAAGTTACATCATTATAAGTGTTACATGTTTCAAAAGTCAATTACAATATAATGACAAAAGATTTGTTTGATGCCTTAGCGCCCCATTGTGACATCCCCAAAATCACGGCTAGAAAAGACCGATTTAATTTATGCTTTTAAAATAATTTCAGAGTAATCCTTTGATTAAAAGAGTTGCGGAATTTGTTCCCAAAACACAATATGATAAAATAAAGTTTATCAAAGCATTTCTTAAAGAAATGTATTTTCATATATAACAAAACTCGGGATGTCATGTTCCGATACAGACCAAAAGCATAAACGGCACATTATAAGCCTTACATCAGTTATATACAACTACAAGCCTATAAACAAAATAACTTGATGATTCATCCATCTTATGCTCTCGCGCCACTACCTATAATACAAATAAAACTGAGTGGGTCAGACTTGGGAGCCTGGTGAGCATATAGGGTTTTTAACCCACAATAAATAATTATATTTAATTTCACCAACCAACAATAACCTGATTACCCATTCCCGTTATCCTCACCTTACGTCCCTAAAACAACAACTATCACAAGGGACCTAGTCTAAGGATTTTCATCGGGATGGACATTACTACAAAGGGGTTTCCTCGACAATAGATGTCCTAAAGGCAACCATGAGGGGGATAGAGTACACCGGTGAACACATCGTTCACAACACCTACAGGTTATGAACCTGCCAGCGTTCCACTGGACAGTCTAGAAAGAGTCTATGGTCGTCATCCATACTCCGCTAGATGACTAGATCAACAACAACATCGAGGACTCTCATCATTTTTATTTCATCACACATCACTATCTACCCATGTTCTACCCAACATATTTGTAGATAAAATATACTTGTTTATATACAGCTTAAAAACCTATATAACATATTCATTCAATACTCATAAGTCATACCACATAACAAATAGTATATAATCACATAGCACGTATATCATAGAGTATAATTCATATATGTGTATTATAGAAGGCAACTACACACTTACTCATATCATATATCTAATACATTCATCAATACTTGTATTAAAATCGTGTTTATGAAAGGGACTATGCACTCACTTGATAAGACGATTATCGGACAGCACTACGACTCTTCAAGCAGTATTCTTCGGTGAAACTGTGATCTCTTCACACACCGGGCTTCTCGCGGGCAGAGCTTCGGCTCGAAACTCTTTTCTTCTCGAGATCTTCGGTGCTTTGGGACTCGCTTCGGGTCTCGGGATGATACCGGGGCTTCGGGGGTATAACTTGCACGTAAATCGAGGTAAAATGGAGTGAGAGGAAAGAAATTGAGCAACAAAACTCAACTGGCCTCGCTTTCTATTTATAGGGGGCTGAAATCCAATGCTCACGTCGTGAGCCACTAATGCTCACGTCATGAGCTCGATGTCATGGCGTTCGTCATCTGGCCACTTGCCCTGGAAGATGTCTATCACCTGCTCACATCGTGAGCCACTGTGCTCACGTCGTGAGCTCTGACATAGGGGTTGAAGTTCGTGCCCCGAACTTCAGAAATTCATATCTTTTGCATACGAGCTCTGTTTTCGACGTTCTTTATATCCATGCTTAGGTGAGATTATTCTCTACAACTCTCATTTAGACTCCGTCGGCTAATTTTGACTTTAACTTTTATTATATTATTTTTAGTAGGCCGGGACAGGAAAATTCCGTTAGAAATTCATAACTTCTTCATCTGACATCCGTTTTCGTCTGTCTTTTCACCGCTGGACTACTATCGACGAGATCTTCGATTCTCGTTTAGATTGTTTTGGCTAGAAACCACTCGATCTCATATTCGAACTTTGGGCTGCATATCGCTAAGTCGAAACTTCGAAAAATCATAACTTCCTCATACGAAGTCAGATTTAGACGTTCTTTTTATGCACCCTCTCAGTCTAACGTATTCTACGACTTTCGTTTAGATCACTAAGACTAAATATCGCTCTATCGTAAATTCACTATTTACGTCACGCAGTGTCGTACCGGTTCTGTCGCGAAACTTCGTCAGGTCATAACTTCTTCGTTGTAACTCGGATTTCGGAATTCTTTATATATTTGGAAACCTTGTCACGACCACTACAACTTCCTTCATAGATATCGGGCTTATCTAATATTTTACTTTATCGCTTATCTTTATCCTTAATTCATTTAAATCACACAATTAAGCAATAAACACATCATACTCAAATAATACCTTCTTATTATTTCAAAACGAGTTACACAGGTTAACCTAGACTGTTACACCATCATTAATGCCTAGCCTAGAAACACGGGCGTTACACCCATCCTCAAAAGCTGTTGATTACCTGTTTTACTGATTTCTTGAGAATACAAGTTGTTTGATAAAGTGTCAACAATTAAGTTGGTGAATTAATAAGAGTTTATATGAAAATAGTAAGCCTTTCCGTGAAAAGATATTGTGTTTGTTTCCAGAAAATCCGATATTTTCTACTAGATGAGATGTAAGTCGTTCACTTGAAAAATGAGGGTGCTCGTTCTAGAAAAACCAATATTTTCCATAGAAATGATTTGTAGTTAAAATGTTCCAAACTGAAATGTACAAGTATTTTCCATACAAAGAAACAATGTAATATGTAGTTTTATTCGTGTATAAAACCGTTTGAAGAAGTGTGTTTTCGTGTAAAGTGTACGTATAGTCGTTTTTCTATGTGAGTTTTTATAACTGTGCTTTTAAGATGCAGTGTCTGCCTCGTCGTTCTTCAGGCGCCGAGATATTTATGACATTTGTCACCCATATCCTGCCGGTCTGACTGTAGCTAGTAGTCAGGGTGTGGGATCATCAGTCCCGTATAGACCATGTCTCACAAATTTATTCAACGAGTATATACCTCAGTTAGGTACGATGAAGTAAATGTCTCACAAATTTATTCAACGAGTGTACGTGTTTTTGAAATGAAAATGTTTGTATATGAAATTATCCCCTATGTCCAGGATAATATCGAAAATGTCGTAAAACAATTATATATG